CACGCATAACACAATCTACAGGCATTAACACGCAATAACACTTCTACAGGCTCTTTCACATTAGATGTAGAAAACACAATAAAAAACAAAACATATTAAAGAAAAATACATTTCACTTTTCTCTACCTTGTAAACACATAAATAGTGAGTTTGCATACGTAGCCGTAGGGTCTCTCTTGTTCACACCTACCTGTGTCACGCCATATATGCCGTTCATTTACATGTTAAAGAAGAACGCTTTAGTGCGTTTCCCGTGCAATATGTGAACAAGCCATTATAATCTCTTCGATCTGCTCCCTATGTGGCAATGTACCCATGAATAGAGAGCGAGAAAGAGAGAGAGAGAGAGGAAGATGAACTAGTATTTACTGATCTTATCAAAATATGAATTTCTGTGAATGCATTATTTATTAAGGGTACATGAATAGAGAGCGAGAAAGAGAGAGAGAGGGAGAGAGGAAGATGAACTAGTATTTACTGATCTTATCAAAATAAGAATTTCTGTGAATGCATTATTTATAAAGGGTACAGATCTCGCCCACTCTTTATGCCAGAAAAACATATTTCGGTGCCTGCATGGGCAGCAAATTCTAGGTGTTGTTTTGACATCTGCGGTAGATTTATAGATATGACTTTATAAGTTAACATAGGAATATTAAAAAACATGATATGCAGAAAGATATGAAGGGAGCATAAAGAGTGGATCAAAACACTTTTAGTGTCTGGCATCACTTCCTTAAAGGTACTATGTCCCATTTACAGGCCAAAAAAATGAAAAAGTTAAATTCCAACTGCATTTGAATGATAATACTAATTTAGAACTTCCCTAAAAAAGGTGGGGCTTGAAAATGTCTTCAAGTGGGAAAATAACGACTATTAGTTGTCAAATCGACTTTCGGGCTATAGAGCCCAAAAGTAATAGTCTTGATTTTCAGACAATTGTACCGAATGGTCATACGTTTTATGCTGCGCAAAGATTCAATCAGTTTAATCTTGGCCATCACAAGAAGTGGGTTATTGATGTAAACAAATGCTCATGTACCCTTTACAACTCTTTTCATGTATGTTATTACCAAAGAAGAAGAAAAGCCAGTCAGTCACTCAATAGTGTCTGACAGTGAAGTCTAGCAAGTAAACGGTCTCCTTGCATAATTTGAATATGAGGACACTGCTAACGTTTAAATTTCACAGATAGGACATACATGACATATTCATAATTCATGCAAAGTTCTACAGAATTTGAGGTTGGCTGCAAAAGGGACATACAGTAGTACCTTTAACATTGAACACGACTCCCATATGAAATATGTATACAAAAACTTTAATGTACCAAGGGATATTTGATTTTATTTATTTATTTTTCTTCATGGTTTTTGTCCAAAGTTACAAACTAATTACAGCATAATCATGATAATAAACAAATTATTTAATTGATACATCGTCAAGATTGAATAATTGCATCATAATACTAACATAAATAATCATGAAGAAGGATTGCCACATCTTAAAGCTAAGCTTTAAGGTATGGTATAAAACTTAATGTTGTAGTTGTAAATATTGTCCCTGCCAATTCATTGTTTATTTCTATAAGATCAGAAATTGGCCTATCCTATTTGTCATATGCAATTAACAGATAGAATGATGCAAGTTGAGCCTGCGTGACCAATTCTTTCTTAACAAGTAGAAATAATAAGGTCTTTCCTTTTTTAGCAGAATTGTTTTCTGTAACTTTAGTTTGTATTATTTGTAGCATTCAAGAATTTAACATCGATGTAAAAGTAGTACTAAAGATTAGCACTAGCAGTTCCTCTTTTGATGAAGACTATTGCAAATATCACTACAATAGGGTGAAACTGTACCTATATGGTTCTGATTGAAAGTGTGTATATATAGGGTCACCTTGATGCACTGAATACTAGAGACCTATTTTGAGTTTGAATGGCACCATCATAAGTATTTACATTGCGTAAGCCTCAACGTGTATATTTATCGAGCAAATACAACCAAGAGCAGTTCTCGGAAAGCCTGATAGAGAATGGGCTAGGTCTGTTTTAGTAAACATCGGTTGTTCTATTTCGGGGCTGTCTTATTGGTACGCTCTACAATCCTCTTGAATAGATAGTGAGTGTTGTTGGTTCAGCACTGCACTGCATAGGCAGAATACTATAGGTACAAAAGACAGGAAGATATAAAATTCATTTCATTTCAGTTTCATTCCACTTTGTAATAAACAAACATAAAGAGTACATACAATTTTGATAAACACAGCCTACGCATATTGACAATTAAAGATGAAGTTGAGTTCTGGTCATGCGATTGCATTGTGAAAGAAACGGTGTGGAACCGACCAGAAAAGGTTGATCATCTAGCATATAAGAATGTGTTTGTATTGCAAGGTTCTGGAATCATCAAAATGATAAGAAATGTGGCCAAGTCTTGGTAAAGTTACAAACACTTGCACAGAAAGATGTTTATGGGACTACACGAACACGTGGCGTAAAAAGTCGGCCCCCCGATTTGTACGATGTTACATGCATATTTAGAATATGAAGGCATTTGAAGAGCCAAGCTTTTGAGGGAACATGTCTTAACTGATGTTCTTCCACACTTGCATAATAAGAATGAGTAATGCTCACAAATTATTTTTCACCTCTTCCCAGAACTCAACCTTCTCTTTAAGTCCATGTTTTTACTAAGTAACCTAGTTTCCAAATATAATGTAATGTACAAACTGTACAAGAATAGAAACTGTTTGGCAATTATGGAAGTACCTAAAACAGCAACCTAGCTATACACTTGTACGTAAAGCATGTAGGCCCTATATATATAGATGTAACAAATTAACCCCCCCCCCCACACACACACACACACCCACACAATAATTGATTAAACCTCTTTGTTTTCATGTACTTCTGAGTTGTTCTTCTATTCTTTTCTTCTTCTTCTTTTCCTTTTTTTCCTTTTTTTTTTTTTGGGGGGGGGGTGTCTTTTCCCTTCTTCCATTTTCCTAGTTGGGGGGGGGCAGTATTTCCTGTGATGTTACTCTCTAAACAAAAATCGAGCGATCACGGACGTCACTCCTCTGGAGAGTGAAAATGTAGTGAAAATAGAGTGAACATTCACTCTTTTCTTCTTAGAGAGACTCTAAAATCAATTGATTTTCACTCCTAAACAAGTGATCACAGACGTCACTCCCAAGAAAGTGAAAATAGAGTGAAAATTCACTCTTTTTTTTTTAAGAGAGTAGGTATCAAATTATGGAATAACTGTAATCAACAATTACTTATTTGTTCTTAAACAATTATAATGATGTATACCGGTGCCCAAATTCTGCCTCGCTATCGACCCAGTTTTGCCACCATGCTCTTGGATTATTTTAATCTTGAATGTGATATCACCTTTGACGTCAAGCTGGTCGGCTTACCTGTGTTTTAGCTAGGTGAAGCACCGAGCGGGGCAAGAATGTGACCTTTGTAAGCAAAATTAGCAAATCAATGACCTTTTTAGATCTAGTTTGCAAAGCGACATGAGCCCACACGCAACTGCGCTCTGATCAATCCAATCTCGTCTATCACTTTTAATCCTTGCTAATCCATGCCTCATCAGCTGCTCAACGTTCCCCCTAATTCACAGAATCCGAGGGTATCTTGCTATTTTTATCCATCTGTATCCTGACGTAAAAGCGAGGTAGCTTCTCGCAGGCTGGGGTTAGCAGGAGTCTTTCACACCAGTTTGTCAGAATTTCTGGGGAAATTTGATTTCAAATATTAATGCTGGCTGTTTTCTCATGCATTTTTTAATAATATCTTTTAAGCGAAGTAGCAGAATGAGTCGCCATGCGGCTGCTAAAAGACGTACGTACTATATTGCATGAAGCAGGGGGTTGTTCGCATTAAAATTATGCCCCAGAACTTCAAAAATATGTGCTTTTTCAATATGAAACTATATACTCTAGTATGTGGTTTACCTGTGCCATGGGTATATAAAATGTATGGAGCACTCAAAACCTTAGAAGTGGGTTACTAGAGATTCTGTTAAAGTGCTATGGCTTACGAGCATGCTAAAGACCTGCCAGCCACACAACAAATTATTGCAATACTGGACTTCACGGATATGGAACTTTTTAACAGTAGGCCTATTATGGCATGAATTGATTAGAGTTGAGATCATAAGCAGTAGAATAATGTACATGTTTTTTTTAATTGTTTGACAAAGATGATGGTTTTATACCCAGAAACTGACATAACAAACTAGTGTAATGTAACACTTGTTTGTTTATTAATTGTGAATAATCTTTGAGCATCTCATACTTTATCTTGAATTGCTTCAATCTACTGGCAATTCAAGTTTATCTATTTGTGTTCAGCACAATACTTTGTTTTATTGTTTGACAAAGATTATGGTTTTACCAAGAAACTGACATTTCAAACTATTGTAATGTAAAAAAAAAAAAAAACTGTTTGTTTAATCATGTGAATAATCTTTGATCATCTCAAACTCTATCTTGAATTGCTTCAATCTACTGGCAATTCAAGTGTATCTATTTTTGTTCAGCATCATACTTCAAATAGTTTCAAGATATATCTTTCGCAATTCAGTTTCAAAAGTCCATTAACTCTTATCAAATCATAATAACATTAAAAAAACCAAATACGCTTAAGAGGGCAAAGGGTCGTTGCTACAAATAATCTGAACTTTGGAACATCATCAGAGGTAGAAGTTTGTTTTCGTCTATGGCATTTGCATGATCGTATTTGTATTTTTCCAGATTATTGTTCATATTATTAGACTTCTGTGTACTTTTCTGATAACAATCAGTGTTTGTGCTTTACTTTTTTTATATTTTATTACAGCTATATTGACATTGTAATGAAATGAATTGAAGAACAGTAGCTCCCAAGGTCCAAATTGATCATGTTGTCTGTTTAAAGCCTGAAAAGTGTTAATTCTGTGTTAAAAGTTAACAAGTCGACTCCAACCAGACGATAAGATGTTTAACATGTAGCTATGAATTAAAACTATACCTGATAGCTTATGAAGATTAAATGTATATTTGAAGTTTTTCATGGGATAATATGTAAAAGAGTAACCCTAAAGCTTCAACATGCATAAGATTTGACTAGCATGCAGGACATGTTTTCCTTGAATATTTGAAAGACCTTTTTTGTGTGCAAAAATCATGGCACATTGCATAAAAGCTTAAAGTCCTCTCCTGTTGTTAGCTTGGATGATGAATGTCAAGTAATATATATCTCTTAATAATTCATTTACTGGCAAACTGTGTTCTATGTCCTAATATTATACCTGTCCTTTTAGATTGTGATTTTGGTGTAAAAAAGGATATATCAATCTTGCAAAACTTACAACTTCACTTGCTCTGTTAATGTCTGAATAACAATAACATTCTGGATTCACATTATATAGTACCTACATGTATTACATCTGCGATGTCGCTAACTGCTTTACAGGTGATCATGAAACTGCAAACACCAGCAAAACCAGGCTTAGGGGAGATAAAAATAGGTCCAGAGGTCAGGTCTCTAGCCTTTTATTGGTGTGACATGACCTGGGTTCAAGTATACTTGTGTCTTTTGAATTCTGACTATCAAGGTTTCCACAAATGAAGAAAAAAAGTGAAAAAAATGTATTGTACACCTATGACATTTTACAGTATGGCCAACCTTTATCTAAAGGTTTGTACTTTCCAAGAAACCACTCACCTGGATCACGATTTTCACGATGTTAACCTCATTTCTTTCTTTCTTTCTCCTTCCTTACCTTTGCTCCCTCAGGGCCAAATCAGGAGGGGGTCCCTCAGCCACTGGCTCCACCCAGCAGGCCCCACCCCAGGGTCATCAAGGCCCCAAGGACCCCCAGCAAGGCGCAAGGTCAAAGGGTCAATCAGACAGCCATCATCATGGAGGTGAGTGCATGCATGCTGAAAATAGGCCTGCCCTCATCAGCTCGAGATTGCCAAATATTCCGCTATTTCAACTATCCCGATCGCAAATTATCTAGTTAGTTTGCGCCTTCATCAGCCCGAAGACTCGCACTATGCGCAAACGCTGAGCAAAATATCTTGAGCTAACTTTTTGAGCTCGAGTGTCGAGGTAGTGTCTTGAGCTGATGAGGACGCGATTTGTAACTTCAGGCTTATTTCCCAAATCAGAAATAGCGGGCTATTTGGCAATCTCGACGAAATCTTGAGCTGATGAAGACATACCTAATGTGATCAAAGTTCATGTCTTTCCCCCTACTTTGTGTCGTAAAACAATATCAGCTATTGAGGAGCCAGAAGGGTGTTAACTCTGTATTAAAGTATATGAATTAATCTCCCTTCTGGCTCCAAACAGACCTATGAGTCTTCTGCTCTGAGCCCAAAAGGGCCTTAACGTAAGGAAAGCCTTGGAAGTGCTATTAGGCCATTAAAAAAATATACATGTTTAGCATCCCCGTCTGCTAAATGATCTATTTCTGATTATTTTTTATAAATAAATTAAATGCCGGCGGCCATCTTGAAAAATAGCCTGACTGTCATGGAAAATGTACCGAGCGGCCATTTTGAGCGGCTATTTAAAGAAAAAAAAGGGTCTCCTCCTTCCTATTTTTCAAAAAGGCAGGACGCTAAACATGTTTTTTTGTTTTTGGGACCTTAGTTAACAACATTCTGGCCCTCAGCTGGCGATATTATAGCCTAAAGAGAAGTCAATTTTCTTGAATTTGTATCTGTACCTTTTCCCCACTTTATGTCACAAAAATTTGAAAATATGAGTTGCCTGCTCAGAGCCTGACGTGCCTTAACATTTTTTCAACACCCTTCTGGCTCTCGGCTGCTTACCGTAATTAACGTTGTATAAACTGCCCTCGTGTATTAACCGCACCCCTCTTTTTTTTTCTTCTTTTTTTTTGCCGACTTTTTTTTGCCTACTTAAAAAACAGTAGAGGACCTAGGATAGAACCTTGTGGTACGCAGTATAATAGAAGAAAAATTGGAGGAATTATTATTTTCAACTACATATTGAAATCTATCAGAAAGATTACTTTCAAACCAAGATGACAGACAAATTTGAGTGTTGTTTTAGTTTCCGAGTGGTGAGTCAACACACCGATTACTGAGCTGGGAGACATTGCCAGGCATAGCGCCAGGTGTACCGTGTATAAACCGCACCCCCGACTTTGAACTTTTTTCGGCGGCAAAAAGGTGCGGTTAATACACCTTTAATTACGGTAGATAGTTTGAAGAAAAAGTCATTTGGAATAGGTTGCTTTAGGTCCTGGTATTGATAAAAACAAAAACAAATTCTAAAAAATGTCAAGCATAGATTTACAGTTTGACACTGTCTGAAGTCAGAATGACAATTTAGAAACTAAATATTCAATTCGAATTTAGAAACTAAAAATGATATAGTCAAAAGCGAAGGGCAAATAAATCTGGGTGCATCAAAGTATGTAGGCCTGCAATGTATAATTCAAAATCCATAAATTCATTTTTGTATTTCTCCCAATTTTGCTTTTCCAAGCTACCGCTCTAATATCAAGGGTCTGAAAATCAGACTATTTATTAAAAGGACTGCAATCCCTAAAGTTTGATTGACAACTAACGGTCATTATTTTCCCACAAAAAGTCAAAATCCCTTTCGTTTTGAGGGACGTTCTAAAATAGTATTATCTTCCAAATGCCGGTGGAATGCCTTTTTGGGGCCTGCAAATGGGACATAGTAAAATGGAATATTCTTTAAATAGCTCTTTCTTTGTCTCTTTGTTTTCATTGTTCTTTCTTGCCTCTTGTTCCTAACATGTTTTTGCAATGACGACCTTCGTCATTGCCTTGTTTTCGTTCACATTCTGCCCCATTAATATACTTATCCTTATCCTTATCCTTATCGTCCAAAAATCCCATTCGTTTTGCACGTAGTGCTTGTTATTCCTAGTTAGGTGCTTTCCTCATGTCCTTTTCCTTTCAAATTTCATAGGCATAGTCTCTAACATCTCATCAAGGTCACTACATTCTTCGATTTTCGAAATCACTCATGCCTAACCGTCCAGGCGCCATTTTGTCCGTTTCTGGTCCATTTTAAGGCCTTTCTTTCTTCCTTCCTATCTCCACTATCCTAGATCCTACAAACTTCTAACAAATTCCTCTAGATAGTCTAAGAGATGTTCTTTAATCTGCGACGTATAACCTGCCCTTCAAAATGCCATCTTCATACTCAAAATTAAAATCTGAAACCGACTCCGTCACAAATCTCTCTAATTCTTGAAAAATGGACCCCTAAATAATCTAAAACTGCCATAACTTTCTCATATAAATTCCGTTTTGTATTTAAATCTCACAGTATCTTTATCTTATAATTGCACATAGCCATGCCAAATTTCACGCCCCAATGAATTTGCACAACATAAATAGCGCCCTCTAAAGTTCTGGGAATTGGCTTTCTCTCTGTGGCCGTATCTCCATTATGGCTTGGCAAACCCGTACCCTTTTTTGGATTTAGATACTCGAAGATATGCCCTTTCCAGCCATATACAAAATGATATACCCTATCACTGACCAAATTTGAGAAAATTGCCCTCCAAATTCGCCATTTTCAAGAAAATTGAGAAATAACTTCAATTTGCTCTAAAATGGCGATCGTTATATCTACATCAATGAAACTTTGCAGACATATGTATCCATATACGTGACAACTGTCTGCCAAGTTTGGTAAAATTCGAATATGTCAGCGCAAAGTTATCGCCAAAAATGATGAATTTACTATGGATTACGTAATAGCGCGTTCAATGCGCGCAATACATTGCGCGCAGTTAACAATGGTGTCAAACTGACCGCAATGAAGTGCCCTTTCGGATGATACCAAGTATTATATATGTTCACACAGAAAATTGTGAGTAAATTGCATTTGAACAAAGATCACTACACGAATTCCGCCGAGTTTCCGCCCGAACCTAACACGTTTCGGCTATGACGTCATTTTTTCAGACTGCTTTTCGCCCCTTAAACGTCCTTTTTTTTCCTTGAAAATTTGCAGTGACATGCCGAGTTCCAATACGCAGGGCACCTCTTGGCCAGATTTTTGAAATTGGTCAAGGGGGCCATTTAAGACGCCATTTTGTCCTATACATCTATTTTACATCACGTGTTTCGATAGGATTATCATAGAAAAAAAAAGAGTGGTTTACAATAACAACCATGAAATTCTCTTTCTAATGATACCAAATACGGCCCATAAAGAGACGTAAAGAGAGAGAGAAAAAACAATTTAACTCCGGCCATAATACAGATCCTGCACGTTTTCCGCCCATTCATTACACGCATTGTCTATGGGACATATCGGGTTCACGCTTTTATCCCCCAGAACGAACTTGATTGCAATGTCAAACATGCACCAAATCCCATTGGTTTGTGCACGCAGTGCTTGCGAGCCCTTTCTAGGTTCTTTCCCCTATCCCAATTTCTTTCAAACTTCGTAGGCATAGTACCATCCCATCAAGGTCACTGTTGATGCCTTTCGTTCGCCCTACCTATCTCCAATATCACAGAAACTACAGACTTCGTGCAAATTGCTCTGGATAGTCCGAGAGAAGCTCTTTCGTTTGACACGTAGAAACACGGCGTCATTGCACGCACATCGTTGTCACACGATTGCATTTCTAGTTTGAATATCTTTTCCTCTGCTCCCTTTTCCTACCTTCCTCTTTTCTACCTTCTTCTTTTCTACCTTCTCCTTTAATGTTGCGATCTAGATTTTCTTTGAATTGTCCTCCCACTGGATAACTAACTGGCGACAGATTTTATTTATGGTACAGATATAATTGTTCCTCTTGATTTGAAGTGCATGCCATGATCCAGATTTTAGAGTTGATCGAGTCTGTGCTTGTTTCGCATCTTTTATACTCATGGAATGCAAAAAAATAAAAAAATAAAACCTTAAAAGTGTTCAGAAAATGATGGGCTTGGTCAGGCATATGTAACTTCTTTTCATACCTCTTTCTTTATATAAGTTTCAGTCTTGAGAAAAGTAAACATGGAAGGCAAATTAAATATTTATTTTATTCCTGGAATGAATAACCAGGACCAACCAAGCAAAACCAGATAAACTAGATGCGCAATCAACAAAGTAGCCAGTAACATGTACAATTAATGACAATATATTCAAAAGGGTGATTTTCACCATCTCACATACCTTACTTACCTTACTTACATACTACTTACGGTACACTAAACACAGTTATGAACATATATTTTGGTTCATTTATTTCATTCATTTATTTCATCTATTTATTTATTTTCCACATTTCAGTTTAAAAATACAAAACATGCAAGTACAAAACAATGTAATAATAAAATACAAAGGAGTACATACATACATACATAACAAGAAAAACAACTAAATGACAAGGGGGTAAATCCAGTATGCAGAGAGGGGGGCAAGAGCAAAGTTGCTTGTCAGTGTTAATCCCAAAAAATATCGCTGATATCATAACATTGCATTCCGGCCTGCATATCAGGGATAACCAACCAAAAAAGATTCAGTGGTTTCAGCCAAAGTCTTTAATCAGGAAGACACTTGGTTCAAGCCCAGGTCAGCATGTTTATGCAGCACTCTGAAAGGCAGTCTCTTTTCCTGTTTCCTCGATTAACAATAAAAAGCTGTAAGTCCCTCCATAATACAAACATCTTTTCTTTTTTTCCTGTTAGTGTCAGCTTCCCAGGTAACCCAAAAAGAAATGACTACCATAAACGCACAAAGGGATGCTATACAATGTAAAGAGTGCTCTGGTAGACAATGCTTTGTTTGAGAACTTTACCCAGAAACATTCCAAGAGCTTTATGAAATATTCAGACTTTTTTTCTCTCCCTTTTCAGCTGGAAAAAAAAATGAAGGTGAAAGCTGCATTTTGAATAGAATCATGCATAATGGTGTTACAGAATCAGCATGTTTATAGCATATTGACATTTTTCGTTTAAAAATGAAATATTATATTGACGTTTGTTACAAGAGAAATTGAAGACCAGGAATAGTCACTTAATATTTTTGAGAGGGTAGAGTTGCAGATAGATTGCCCCCTCTCCCCCCCCCCCTTTTTTTTATCTTGTTTTTATTTTTTCCTTTCATTTTCCTTGGGGGAGGGCATCATTGCCCCCATACGTTGGAGTGTTCCTTTAAGTTCTTATAATGACTTCTTTGTCTGGGTTTTCGGCATTAATGTGCCACCAGAATGGTATGCCCTCTAGCCCTCGGCTTATGCCATGAATATTTCAAGTCTGGAATACGTTCTTCCCCCTCAAACCTCTTTTTCTGGCATATTCTAAGATACTCCTCCCCCAGTCACAGAATTTCATTGCATTCTCAAATTGTATGTTTTAGACAACATTCAGTCTAATATGTGTTATGGAAGATTTTTTTAAAAATATATTACACCAAGATATAAGATGATAGCAGATACTTGTCGCTAAGGGACACTCTATTTCACAGAAGTAATTTCTTAAACTTTCATTACAATTACAACAACAAAAATGATTATCTTTAGCCTAGCTTTTGCTTTTGCCTAGCTCTCATTCAGTTCCAAAGCTCCTAACAAAATTGAAGACATACCTTTCTTTGAAAAATACTCTCTCCCCCCCCCCCCCCCCCCCTTCCCACACAAACTTTTTGTCCACAATATTAAATTTAGTGAAAACTATGTTCTAGGGCTAGTGCATCTAGAACTTTGCTGAAGAGGTTTCAGCATCAGCCCGCAGCATTCCGAAAAGGGAATTCTGGCTATGTGAAGGGATTGAACCAAAGTAATGTCATCCAGACTTCAGCCCTGTTGGCAGAATACAATACAGGCTCAGTCCGTCTATATTTATCCTAAATCGAGGGCCACAACCTTACTGATTCATGTCTAGCGATAGTCAGAGAACAATTTCCTGGCAATTTCCTCTGAAAATAAATAAAGATATGAACGATGGATGAGCAAAGAGGTGACTGTTCTCCCAATCACATGTCCTCGTCACTAATACTGCCCATATTTCATCGGCTGAACTGAGAGCCAGAAAGCTGTTAGCGGTATCTCTCCAGAAAAGTATAAAGTGGTATCATAGTTCAAGTTATAGTTATATGAACAATGAGCAAAGAGATGACTGTTCTCCAAGTCACATGTCGTTGTCACTAATACTGCCCATATTTCATCGGCTGAACTGAGAGTCAGAAAGCTGTTAGCGGTATCTCTCTAGAAAAGTATAAAGTGGTATCATAGTTGAAGTTATAGTTATATGAACAATGAGCAAAGAGGTGACTGTTCTCTGAATATCGTTGTCACTAATACTGCCCATATTTCATCGGCTGAACTGAGAGCCAGAAAGCTGTTATCTCTCTAGAAAAGTATAAGATGGAGTCATAGTCAAAGTTTAAACATTCAACTGGAGTTGTGAAGTTCATGGATTTGATCCCCTGCATGGCACTTATGTTCTAGTAGTCAAGACATTTTGTCAGCATTGCTTCTCATTTGGGCCTGATATGGAGTTACGTCTTTGTGTCACTGAACCCTCAATATGTGATAACAGTATTGGTCTGGTGAAGACGCAATTTTGAGCTTTGGGAAAATATCCGGAGTCTGAAAATTACGGGATATTTTGCAACTTCGGTCTGATGAGGACAGGTCTACTGTCACAGAATTGTATCAAATTATCAAAGTTAATTAAAAACCTGTATATAAAGACCACTCAAGGGAGACATTAAAAGAGGTTTTATAGGCAAGTGGTCTTTACGAATGGTTCCGTTAGTGCACATTCCAATGACAAACACTGTTCAAGAGAAACAAAATTGTGTGTCTTTCTATACAAGTGGTCGCTTGAAGTTTGAAACTAAATACTTGTTGTGTTGGTCCCGTGTGAATCTTCTTTGTTGTGGAACGTTGTTTACAACTTTGAAGTTTCACAAACTTAAAGCTCAAAATTGTGATGGCCCCATTTTTAACATATGTTACATGTCTCTAAAACAGCTACGTGTACCGTAGACATCAAGGCCCATGTACTTGCTTTCATTGCGTAATTTAGTCCCATGACAGATTGTGTAGTACCACAATACCCCATGAAGTTAGGTTGTAAAACTTATAATTTGACTTCAAAAAGTCCTTCATAATATTTGTTTGCATGAAAGATCATACACAACGATGATCACACTATGAACATGACAGACAAAGAAAGCGGACAAAATATACAGTTCCTCAGGTAGACAAAGGAACATCCCTTCACTGATATTATGTAAAAAGGTGAATATGCATGTGACACCTGTTCTACACATTTTTACATAATAGCAGTGAAGGGATGTTCCTTTGTCTACCTGAGGAACTGTATATTTTGTCCGCTTTCTTTGTCAGTCATATTCATAGTGTGATCATCGTTTCCCTGGCTTCGCACGCACAGGTGATACCGAACAATTAGTATTAATGATAATATTTTTGTTCAATTGTCTTGTTGAATGTGTTTGTTCATCTCCCAGTTTTTGCATTGTTTTTTAGAACTTCATTGATAATGATACAGTCTGTTGCACTTTAAAGGCTTGTGCTATTATAGCCAGAGGCATGGCATGATCATATTATTGGCTGAAAACAGCATGTTTCAACTCTGTGCATGCCACACAAATAATCTCCCTGTGCCACATTGTATTTAGCATGGGATTGATGTATACTATAACCAAAGGATACAAGAATATTTTTTCTGTTTTCAGTGCAAGATGAACCTATACAGGTGTTAGAATGGTTGTTATTGAGCTAATCACAACAAGAAATTGATTAATTTGCAAAGCTATTACGTTAGTTGGTCAGTTGGTGCCCAGTGTTTTGTAAAAAATTGCACATGTGGCAAACAGGCAACTGTGCAGAGGGGCAAAGAAAGCAATCAAAGGGTTAAAACAAAACTAAGAAGAAGTGGCAGTATTAATTTGTTGAGGATTCACACTCATAAGGCCCATTTTTAAATCCCAAACACCATTTAGAAAAATCATCAACTCTTTGGAGTGCCATTTACAGTACTGAATAAAACCATTAAAACATTAGTGTTTGATTTAGCTTCAAAATCATTTCTGTAAAAGTATATAGGTAGTGTGTTTTCACTCCTTTTATTTGTGCATTTTGTGCTTATTTTATTAACTTCATGATTTAATTATTCCCAAGCCAACTATGACACTTGGTACATGTATGTTAAAAAATCTACTCATTGCTGTGATTCATTTGTAATCAGTCATATCATTGTTTATGTTTGGGTATTTTATGTTGTTGTTTTTTCAGAGAAAGGGAGCATGCCACAATCTATCCTTTCAAAGTCCCGTGATGCCCGAGAAACCCCTGTCAAGTACCAAGAATCACCGGTAGAGGAAGCTCAAGAAGCCCTCTCCCTTTCAGCCTTTGGGGCCACCAGTCATCCAGACGGCAGCTCCCCTTTCAGTGGGAGTGGTTCATCACACAAACAAGCAGCAGCACTTCCTCCCACACTTGCACCGTCAAAGGCACCGGCGGTGTCCCTCATCCAAGGCGAGAGACCAGCGGTGGCGGGTGGGTCACCGAAGATCATCCCTCCCGCGTCGACGGAGAGGGTGCGCAACTTGACCAATCCCAGCTCGGATCTGGAAACGAGCAACCAGTCCTCCGCCAGCAGCTCCATCCCGTTCGCCTACGACACCAAAGCGCCGGCGCAGGTCGGCATCAATCCGGTGTCGGCGTCGCCGTGTTCCGGTGGCAGCATGGAGAAGTCAGTGACGGAGAGCGCCTCCGATCAGCTGAGGAAGCTGAGCAGCTCCTGGAAAGACGAGGCAAGCCGCGAGAAACCCGGCATGGAGATGAGGACAATGCAGCATCATAGGGAGATGGATGATGATGATAGTTGCCATGACGACAGGGATGATGCTAGTCTAGATAGTGGGAGCAGTGTGGATGGGGGCTCTCAGAGAACTAGACATGGTAGTGGCACTGTACATACCCTGTGATAACTTTATTCCATCCATTAAATGTATACCTAATAGATTAAACTTGATTTGTGCAAAGATGGGCTCTTTGCTAGGTATCATGAATTATGTATGATACCGAAACATTTCCTTGATATGGAATAAAATTCTAAATTCATTCAAGAGGGGCAATAATAGAGTAAATGATTAGGAAAATATTAATAAAGATGATGTTTTAGTTATGATGATGATTATCATAACAATTAATGAATATTTTGAATTATATGATGTGATCTGTTTATGTTCAATTCATCACATACACTTAGTTTGTAAAACTTTTTGAATGGTTATTCTGTTTATAAGTGAATTTGATTTAAAAATTAATATTTAATTCATTGTTTCAAGTGTTGTGATAAAGCTTATATGACAAACTAGCTCTCACATTATCACATATTTTATCTCAACACATAGAAATACATGATGAAGTTATTAGAAGAATAATAAATAGTAATATCATTTCACTGAGTATGAACACTCATGAATTTCCAAACTTATCGCAATTGTCAGAGTGCTTCAAGATAAATGTGGCATCGTATCATTGTGCCTCACGCATCTTATTTTCACAGAATATTTTCTTGTTCTTCTAACACCGTTAAATGTAGTTATTGCTGTATTTCTTCTCTTTACTATTAATGGAAGATACTCATTCAATGAATGAATGAATCTACATTGTTTTCTGCATATTTGCTAAAAGTAAATAAACAGGGTACGAACAAGTATTACTTCATTAAAACATGTAATTAAGCATATCCATGAGATTCATGGGATTTATAAATTAAGAAGAGTTATCCAAACAAACAGAGCCATGAAAAATGATCATGTATGAATTTAGAATTTCATGGTGCAAGGTTGCTTGATACTCTTGGCTCTAAAAATGTATCTATTCTTCACGCAGCATATGACTCCCTTGGTGGTTCTAACAACATTCATAGACATTTGGGGTGTTTTTATGGCTGATTTCTTGATAAAAATGACTATTTTAATCTTTCCCTAGTGTGGTTCTTTTATGGCTTGGCATAAATCTAGGTGACTCAACTTCCATCCATTGTCGCAGATTTGTAACAAAATGTTTTGTCTTTGGCTTTACACCTGTAACAAGAAATTTACTGTGATTAAGAGAGGGATTAAAAGTACACCTCTGAGACAACAATATACCGGTCTCTTCCCATTATATTAAGATCTCCTGGTGAATTGGAAGAATGCTTCAATGGGTCATTTTCAGGGAAGAGCATCGTTATCAACGAGTGTGTCCTTTGATGACACAAACCACCCTGGAATGGGGCACCACCATTGTCAAGGTGGAGTCATGCAGGACCAAATTCAGGGAAAGAGGGGGGTCATTAAGGGGTGAAGCGATGGCACTGGCTGGAACAGAGGGATGGCGGGAAGATCGGGGGGAGGGGGGGAGGAGTTTTTAAACATTTCAATGTTCTTTGTTTGCTCAATGTATTTTGTTTGAATTTCATTGATTTATTCTCCCTGACTGTTAATACCAGCTTTCTATGTATCTACGTGTCTGTTACCTATCTCTTGGTCCAGGTGTCCTATATCCTTTCACACTCTTTCAGTCAGTGGCCATTAATTTCTTTCCAACTGGTTCTAGAACTTTCATTTGATTGGATCTAGTCCCTTCTTTTGTACAACCAGAAACTTTCATCCCGTGAAACTTTTGTAAAATTACAACACTATAAATGAGTGTTCTGGCAGTAGTTGATCCCATTGATTCGAAGCCTGAAACTTCATTAATCTTAATTATTACCAGTCATAAAATTCCAGGATATTTCTGGTTTTCGGGTACCATGCCCATACCAGGTAGACATATTCTTGAAGAAACCTGGATATTTCCTCAGTCATTTGGCCCAAGTATTTAGACTTCCTCCCTTTTTACCAATTCCAGCCAATTGCTTGTTGCAATCTTTCTATATGTAATTCTTCTCACTTTCTTTAGATGAAATTCTTCCCATCATATTCTCATTAATCATCTCTAGATACTTAGTGAGTATACCTTCCTAAGTTTGGTTTCAGCTCATCAGTTTACATTTTTTCTTTCATTGGGTTAAGAAACCAACAATTTCAAGTTCAACTTAATCAAAGGGGATTGAGGAGAAGGTGAATCATTTGAGATAGTCATTCTGCTTTTTGTCGGTGCTATCAAATGTCCGCGAAACTTGGAAGTATTTTCTCCAGAATCAATGGTCCAGTGCGGTTAAAAGGTGAAGGAACACACCATGCCTTTGTTTGCTTTATATATTTGTAAAGAAACAACCTCAAATCACAGGCTTAAGTGGCTTGTGAATTACAGTTAAGAAAGGAAGTATTTAGAGCATATCCCTTAATCTCTAAAGTGATGTGTTTCTTGTATTTTGTGAATTAGCCTTCAAATAGCCTGAAGGTAAGAATGGCTTTATCAAAGTTCATGGAGCAATCACTGGGAAGTGGTTTTGGGGAGAAATTCAAAAGAGGGGTTTGGTTCAAATTCAAAAGGCACTTGAGAGCTGAGGAAAGGGGAAGACTGTGCAAAATAGCTTTTGTTTGACCAGATTCAAGTTCTAGGAAAAGGAGGGTTCATGCATGGGTCGAGCAGGAGGGGGGGGGGGCAGAATGGACCATTAGTTCTGCCCTTGATGTCTTCATAAAAAGTGAGAATTTGTGATTGGTCTCTCGCTTGTCGGTAACCACTTGAACTTTGGAGATTTCAGAGAAGACTGGGGTAAATGTTGGGCTTAGGAAAGAGGGCGATAACATGAATATCACCCCCTTTGCCTGCGGGGTGTTAATTGGTAGAAGGAGGAAGGGGGTAAGAAATGCACCCTGTTTTCCACCTAAAAAGGGGAAAGGGGATCTTTGTGGTGTTTTCTGCCAAAATACTTTCACTGCCGACATGATATCCATCCATGAAGTCTGATTTATTAACAGTGATCGGTTGTAGCTGTCCTTCAAATAAACTCTATCTTTCAATGAATGCATACATTGTACAGGCTAAGCACTGGGAAAGACCTTGTCTGCACCGAGCTTGCCCCCACAATGCACCACCTGCCATAAGCAAATCAGCACTTTGTAAAGCAAGAAATCAATAATTTTTGTATTACCAGGTCAAAAGGAGGTCACTGGAATTTGGGGGTTTCATATAACTTTTAACGGGGGTCCACACACACACACAAAAGTTGACTTAATGCTTCATAAAGTCATTTCATATAACAGGAATCAACAATATGTTATTACTCGATATTCAATTTCATTGGAAAAGAGAGGAAATGCTCTCATATCATGTGATTCAAGAAGGAGATTTACATGGGAAAAACTTTTGGTTTTGATATTGATTAATTGGAAATCAGACATTAAATCATTCTTGTTAATGATGGAGAAATAATACTTTCATATCATTTGATTACTCAAGGAGCTTTGCATAAAATAAATACTTTTGGTTTCAATTAGAGTGCAATAACTTCATGATAATTTATCAGAGTAGTTAGTGATATAAATATAATATAGGATTGAGGTCAAACCACCTTTATTAAAAGTTTGAGCCTCCTTTGTTACAAATTTAGATTTCTTTTACAAAGCCTGATAAAAGATAATGACACCTTTCCAATATGGGAAAGAGATGTAATAATCAAACCCCTTCCTGCATATTGTTCAACTGGTATTGCTTGGGAAAGCCCTATAATTACAGTAAAGGTCCATTGATTTTTAATAATGGGGTCAGAATATATGCCTGAATTAATGCAGAAAGAAAAAATTCCAAAACTTTGTTCATTATCACCTAATTGAGCTGAATTTACATTTCATGGAAATCGAGAGTTCATTTTAGGGCCATGGTGGTTTCGGGAGCTACAGGAAGAAGAGGGGTGAGAAATCGTACCCCTGTTCACCCGACAGGGGGGCAAGGGCAGCTGGCCTTCGTTTGTGGCCGCCCTATGGGTGTAGCTGGCGTATAATTACTTCCATTCATCAAACTAAAACTGTTGGGCGGGAAGATGGTCCCAGTAATTATTCAAAATGAGGTTTGTGTCTTTCTCCTGGTAGAAACCCTAATGGACGCTATTCATCTTTGTTGAAATTGAATGTTAGGAGAACATATGTTCTGGTGGTTGAAGGGATTATCATGAATGATGACAACCGTATGTAATCCATCAAATATCTGACTGTCATGCCTACAGATGTGAACATGTGCAGTTTAAGCATTCTTTTATCCCTGTGACATGTATTATCCCTTTTGACTGCCAAAGTGAATGTAGTTTATATCTTTTGCTCAGAGCCTGAAAAGCATTTATAAACTTTAGAGCTGCTTGGAGCATGCTTCTGGTCCATAATGGTACCAATTAATTTCACTCCTGCCTCATAATTATACAAATGTTCATTTCATTTACCCCTTTCTGGTATACATGCTTGAATATGATATACATGTATGAATATGTACTTACATGTATATTCAAAACGAAACATATTTTCCAGAATGTTTTGGGAAGTATACTGATATATAGTTTCTTGTTCCCTGTTCCGGCCTCTGCAATTGATAAAATGGCTACCCCCTCAACGAAAAAAGGGTAATAAAAAGGTGATTGGAATAGGTGATAGTGTCAGAGAAGCCAAATGTTCGCGTGGAAATGGTTGCGTGATTAATCGGAAAAGTATGCGCCATGATAACAATAGGACTGAGAACCAGGTGTTTGCGAAATTCCCTTTACTTTATCTCAAAATACCATTGATCATAGCCACATCCATGAGCATTTTTATGCTTGGATATTCATTTCAATATGTAGGTTGTAGAGAGCCACTACATTTTCAAATTTTTATTAGTTCCGCTGTCTTTCAAAGAATTAGCAAAGGCTATATTAAAGTATGCTAACTATTGAGTTTGAGATATCAAGTTTTTGTATCATTCGGCTTTGTACTTATGAAATAGTAATTTCCTCAACAATTAAAATACTGAGTATTGAGCCACTAGAATACTGAAATATTCTGGTGCAAGTAGGCAGCTCTGGTGGTATGCTGGTGTCTCAGCCCAAAAAGACACAGGGATATAGTTAGTGAATGAGGGGTATAACAACAACCCCCCCCCCCCCCCCCACCCTCTTCCCTCATTCAAAATTTCTATTAGCGTATTCAAAATGTTAACACATTGTCAGCAATTGCAAAAGTTCATAGTATTAGACAAGCAAGTTTTCTACCCTGTCTATAATTCTAAAAATGTAATTGTTGCTCATTACCATTGGAAAATTTGGGCTGAAAATGTGAGAAAATATGGTCAGACAATGCCCACCCCCCAAATTTAAAAAAAAATTAAATAATAATTTAAGGATGCACTTGAACAGGAAGGGAAACCACAAAACAGTGATATTCAACTTTGACACTTTAAAGTTCAAAAATACCAAGTCGCTTCGAAACTATGTTGATAGTGTAGCACCATACGCTTTATGCCATAAAAGTACCTCCCAGTTCGGGTGAATGCCCCTCCCCCCCCCCCCCCCCCCCCCAAAAAAAATAAATAACCAAAAAGAAAGAAAGAATGGTTTAAGGATGCACATGCATCATACGCACTGCTTCACATGCATAGGAAACAAACAGGAAAAGGAAACCACATCACAGTGATATGTGCAACACCTTGAACATTTAAAATGACCAAGATGCTACCAAACAGAGTCAATAGTCAAATGACATGCGCTTTACATCCACAAAATTACCTCCCACCTTGAGTGAATGACCTGAGAAACAAAACAGAGATATGAGACCTTCCTGTTTCTATAGAAAACTTTGTTGTACATTGTTTGATAATAGTACAGGAGGCGGAGGGAGCTAGTATCGCTATCATTAAGCCTGTTTACGATTACGCAGAAAATGTTCTTGATAACGCCCTTCATTCAATGATTCTTACATTCATGAGGGCATTGACTCCCTCCAAGCTTTATTCCATTATTATTAAGAAGGGGGAGTGGATTAAATCTTTTAAATATTTTATTATGGCATTGATGGTATGTTTTTTTGTTAATGTAGGATGGAGTACTGTGTGTTCAGAGCCAGGAAGACATTAAGTGGTATCCCCATATTATACTATTCTGGAATAAGTGAACTATAATACATCTATGATGTCTACACTACAATACAATGCAATATTGGCACTTGAAAAGCGCTCTTACAGAACCTTTATCACAACACTTTACTGACTTAAAATGTATGCATACATGTGATTAGCTTAAGATAATGAATGTGAATACTGCAAGGACATTCAATGATCGGTATCTTTTGAAAGGTTGAGTTGTTAATTGTGTATACTATACATGGCCTGGCTCCCAAAGTAGTTTCTGTTTTCTGAGTTTTGAGTTTTGTGTTTTGGGGGATAAAAGGTGGATATTCCAAGTCCAAGGACACACATTTCAAAAGGCCTGTCGTCATCAGTTCGAGTTTGCCAGATAGCCCGCTATTTCTGATTCAGAAAGTTTGCCCGAAGTTACAAATCGCGTCTTCATCAGCTCGAGAAATCAGCTCAAGATGTTTTGTTCAGCGTTTGCGCAAAGTGCTGGACAAATAGCAAACTAGCCCAAGATATTATGCGTCTTCACTTGCCAAATATCCTGATATTTCGGGTTCGGGCTGATTTCCCGAGTCTGAAAATAGCAGGTTATTTGGCAAACTCGAGCTGATGAAGACAGGCCTAAAGACTATTCACTTGGAGTTGGAATTATCTGCCAAGTCATTTGGCATTGCTTCAGATCGTTTGAACTAGTTCCCATTGTTGTACATTGTTTCTTTTCTAAGAATATTTCTTGTTTGTTAAACCTTAAAAGGCTTTTATAATCTTTGACATTGTCTTGTCATACCCTAAGGGGTATAAACACCCTAAGATACTTTTTGTGCCAAAATGTTGAATATTTGTTCGTATCGGGGGGGGGGGGGTGGGGGGTGGGGGCGGCTGTCTTTAAGGTACTCATCATGTCAACCACATACTAGGGGAATGTAGTCTAAGGTAGCGCTTTGTATTTTCATTTGACTTTTTTTTATACAGTATTCAAGAGAATTTTCATTAAACATTTTTTCTAAAGGTTGAAATGGAAGGGGTGGTATTGAGAAACCCCAAAAAGGCAAAATCGTATTAAAAGTTTACTATGTTATATAATATTTCATTGTCACTCATAATACATTCTCGAATACCCACTTGTTAATCCAGCCCCACTGGCAATATTGCTTCTTCTCCTTCTCTTTCTTCTTCTTTTTGCCCCCCCCCCCCCCCCTTCAAACAAAAAAGGGGGCATTTTTTTGTTGCAAATGGATAACCCCTAGGTTTTTTGGAAACATGAGAAACCTCTTTTGGTCAAATCTTAGTATTTCCATGGACTGCTGATAATTGATGAAAAATTTTAATGTTGTTATTCTCGTTACAACATAAATGTTGGGCAAAGTGATTTTTTTGTTTTGTTGTTGAATAGAATACCGGTAGATGAACAATAGCCCATGTCTAGAGGAAATAAACATTTCATGATCAACTTATTCTTACATTAACACAGTTTCCTAGTAGATTACACTACATCAACCACCATTTTTTGTTTTGTTTATGTATATGGACAAAAATCTGATGTTGTGTGGCTCATTCTCGTTGGAATAACATCTGGATATACTGGGTAGTACTTGGAAACAGATGGTGAAACCTCGATTCCCACGTTTCTTTTAAATTAATCAAATGACTGGATTTTGTTTCCCTTTTATTTTTGTTATATTCTGATGTCCTTGCATGTCACTGTGACAATGGCAGTATACATAACCACTTGTGGTTTCATTTTTCTTTGAAGATTTCAGATTCTAAGGTACTTATAATAATAATAATAATAATAATAATAATAATATGATAACAGTGCTTATAATGCGCTTTCCACTGAAGTCTCTAAGCTCTTGAACAGTGTATGTATTTCCCATGTTTTGAAAACTTTAGCTGTTTCTTTTTCTTATACCACTTTTTAAGTCCTATATCCATTAACCACTTGTTGCTTTTTTATCTTCAAAGATTCCGGAACCTAAGGTACTTTAAAGGTGGATTTAACCATGTTGTTAAATTGTAGCTGTCTCTATTTCTTGTACCACTAATACAATCCTTGGGGGGGTTTTTTCAAACCAAATCAAACTATATGGTATCTTTTTTACATGGTATCTGGCTTATCTAAAGAGCTTCAATAGCTCTACTGATAGTTTGGCGCCAGGAGGGCGTTAACTCTGTGTTAAGGTATATGAGTTAACACCCTTCTGGCTCCAAGCGGACAATATTAACAAGCACATACTGCCAGTTTGGATGTATTTCATTACATGTACTATTTCAGCTGAGAACTGGAAGGTGACACAATCTCTACTCCACTTTTAGTTGGTATTTTGAAACTCTTGATGGTTGTACTTTCCAACTGATTTGGCTCTTGTCTTGTCATATTCATCAATCAAATCACAGAAAGGGGTTGACTGATTGCTCTCGGCTATCGAGTACTACCTGGAAGATAATGTCATGCATTAATATCTGTAGAAGAAGAAGAAGGAAGCGAAAAGAAACAGATCAGTGACAGATTGTGCAAAATCAGATTTAAAAAAATAAGGAAGTTTTGTTTTGTTTCAAGTTTCAATTAATGATATACAGATTCAGAACTATGTGATGTAACTTGGGAGGTAACCTCCCTTCTGCTCTGTACTAAAAACATTTGTAAATTCCTCTTTTCTGTTAACAATACATGTATTATGCCCTCTTAAAGTAATCATTACACATGCATGTATGTTTCTACACAACCCTGTATGAAAACAGATAATGCATTCTTTCATCAGCAACTTAAAAAGCTTGAAACTTATGAAAATGTCATGTACAGATCAATGGTTGATTAACTCTATGCCAAAGCATTGGAGTTATAATGCCCTTTTGGCCCAGATGATTTGTAATTGTTGTTTGTAAAAATAGTTTCACAGAAAAACCCAGGGTTTGGGGGGCTCGTTGGATATTATCCACCTTTGGAACCTGTGCACCCTGGACTATTAATAAATTTGTATTGACAAGCTGCCTGTATCATAATAATGACAATAACACAGACTCTTTATCAATCAGCTATTGAATAAACATGATGGCTTATTTTAGTGCCATGTTGATATCTTGCCAATCTCGATGAGGACTTTGGGATATGACCGAAGTGTTTTCAATTCCAAGTTTTCAGGCTACTAGTTTTGAGATTCATGAATAGGGTATGAAGTAGAATGGCAGGTTTATGTACAGTTTACAACTAAATTATTCATATCCTTTCCAAGTTTTGTAATTTGTTTAATCTCCCAACATCAGAGAAGATGGGGTATGAAGGTGAACTTGCTTCTAGTGCACGGAACTGAGGGATCTATTCTTTTATTTTATTGAAGCTTCTTTTCTTTTCTTCTTTTTTTTTTTTTGAGAGAGAGCCAGAAAGACAAACTCTTTTTAAACGTATAAGATTTAATTTCTTTCTTGCCCTCAAAATATAATATGGCAGCTTAGACAGGATTTATGCAGATTAATCTCCCAATATTTGTATGAAGTTGGGGGAATATATCCTTTTGTTTCAAAGAAAAATCCCTGCATCATTTCAGGACAAGTCTTTGGCCGGATTAACCTTCCTGCGGTTGACCCAGATTTTAAGAATGAACAGGCTAGTAGCTGTTCAACCTGATCATCCACATCTCTCCATGAAAGACCATGTTTTTTATACCATCAACATTAAAAAATAAATTCAGGCAATCTGAGTAATGCGACCCTTTCTCAGTAAAAGCCACTGTCATAATCTCAAAGTTGAATATAGGATATTCAAGAAACGAGCTGTCAGGTTGCTAACAAATTCTGCTCTATTTTCGTCTGCTCCATCATGTTGCTCTTGTCCGAGTTTTATCTTACAAGACATTTTGTGACGCATGCATGGAAGTGTGTGTGGTCCCTAGATTTCAGCCAAGTTATGAGAGTAAGTAGGCAAAGGAGGGGGAGGGGGGGGGGGGGTATGCATTGGCAAAGTTTGATCGTTCGGACTGCATTTAACTTTCTTGGAATCGTTTTCATATTCATAAAGATAATTTTTTATTTAACTTTTTGTCTGCCAACCTACTTAGTTCGAGGGGTGTACAAGGAATTTCAGGGTTCAGGCTTTCGTTGACGAATGCAAGATAAATGTCTTCTCTTGATGGATCTGGTGCAATTAATAATACAGCCCTGGAAAAAGAACATAATTAGGTCATGTAATGGGGTGTATCTTTTTTTCTAGTTCTAAGAAAATGTTATTTTAGTTGATTATAGATTACCGGTAGCTCTTTATGTGTTCCTTGTGTTACTTCCCTACCGCCCCCCCTCTCCTCTCTCTCTCTCTCTCCTCTCTCTCTCTTCTCTTTTCATCTATTTATCTCCCCCTCTTTGTCATAATACATTGCAGAATGATTTATCATTTATTATGATAGTACCTACTAGACCTTGGTACATAGTAGTAACGAGATGAATG